GAAGTAAACTTTTTCTCTGCAACATTTACAGCTACTTTAGAGTACAACAACAATAATAGTACATTATGTATAAATTAGGGCTATCATTTCATGTTTTTTGAAAGAAATTTGAAGTCAGTAGTGGTTTTACAAACTTTTTTGGAACATCTATTGTTATATTATGTCTGTTAATGTGGTTGTTTGAATTTGTATTTTTCGAATTTTGATTTCATACTTTCAATTGAAAAGAAACTTCGCTTTGAAAAATCATTCAAAATGAAAGCTGAAAAGTAGAAAAAATCTGGAACAAATTAAAAAATTACAAATGAAACCAGGAATGAATGGGAGAGTTGAGAGATTAGAGGCCAAAAATGAAAATTTGTCCAATTTGAGACGAAGATTATCTATCTTTAGAGCAGTGTTTCTTGTTCATTCACTGTATTCACTTTTCTCATTTTAGTTGGAAAGAGATAGCCAATTTTGCCTAATTATGTGCACCATTCATATTAAATAGTTTCTAATAGATTCAATTCATTAAATAGTTTCTAATAGATTCAATTCATTAATAGTTTCTAATAGATTCAATTCATAAGTCTGCTAAAAAATAGTAAACGAAAAATAAAAATTTTGTTAGCGAATTTGATAAACAATGAAGTGTAGTATGAGTACTGCAACTGAGACCTTTTAATCTTATTTCCTTGAAAATCGGTCAAATACTAAAGCTCTTTTTTATTTTCTTTTTTTCTTTTTTGCAAGAAATATATTTAAATAATAGATAATATTATTCCACTTTCACACCATTTTTATATTACTACAAAAAACATAAATAATAAAATTGAACCCTTTGCTCTACTTATTTTATTTTGAAATTTATTGTGAAGTTTCGCAATAACAATTCGTAAAAATTATTTACGAAGGAGAACATTTGCCGTATGGTAACTCTCAAGTCGGTTAGTCTCGTTTCACTAAAATTTCACAAAACAATTCTTATGCGAAGAGAGAGATTCCAGTCATACGAAACTCTTGGGTATTAAAGGATAAAATTTATAAAGTTTTAAGAAATATAAAAAGCAGCGCACGAAAAACTTTTAAAAATGTTTTAAAAAAAGCAAAAGTAGGCATCTGTACAATAACATAAATGTGCTAGAAATTTCCTGAAAAGAAAGATTTTTAATTCAAAAAGTAGAATTTTGGACTTTGATATGGTCAATAATCACTGTTATATGATAAGCCACCAAACGTCAAACTGCTTTCCTGATTTAAAGTTATTAACTCGCAGGAAAAATATTTGAGAAAAATTTATCTTATGGAATCCATCTTATAGAAAATTTATCGCGCAAATGAAACAGAAAATGCTTAGCTACAACCAACAGTTACATGAGCAAACTGCGCACTTCAATGGGATGATCTGCCTTAAATCAATCTTCACTGAATTCGTCATCAGTTATCTTTTTTCTTCCAATTACGACCGGTTTCCGCATAAGCAAGAATTAATGCACAAAGCGCAAGCAAAGAGGTGGCTACCGATCAGTTTTTCCTATTTAAACTTTATCTTCAAATTACTGGATATGTATTCCGGAAATGATGAGCACAGGAGAGAATAAAATATAATATGTTGTGTTGCTAATAGTGTTAGCGTTTTAATAGTATCCGTATCTCATTCTAGCATTTATGATTCAATTTTGATAATGCTGCAAAGTTCTGTGGCTCGAAGTGCTACTTGAATGAGAAGCTAAAACAAAAATAAAAATGAAATCGTTGTGACGGGACAGTAGTAAACAGCTGAAAATTATGTTGTGTAATGAAAGATGAATCGAAATTTGGTTGTGTGGCATACATCAAGTTACAATCATGAAATTCAGATCAATCAATCAACAGCGCCGAACAATTATCCAACAGTAGGATTATTGTTATCCACTTATCAAGCGGAGATGAGACCGATCATATTCGCATTATTCTAAAACTTTTAAGAGAGGTTTGAAAACAAACAAGCTTTCGAAATTTTGTGTTAGACTTCAAAAATTCCACTCAATGTCTGTTTCATGTTTATTTCAAATTAGGTTATACCATGTGTCCCAAAAATTCCATCAGAAATTGAGGAAATGTCGAAAGAAACTTAATGTTGCTAGATTTTTTTGTCAAACTGATTTTATCGAGTAGTTCAGTTGTCAAATTAAAATTAATACTACTTACGTCTGCTGAATGCAAAGATACCTATGTGACGTTCACACGCATTGATAGATTAGTGTTTTACAAAAACGATCAATATATGCTAAGCTTATTAGAACAATGATTATTTTATCAACATAGAAAGTTTTACTTCTTTACGACGTCAAAATTTATGACTTTTCACAATTAATTAATGGAAAAGAAATTAATTTATCATTTGAGCACTGCTATTTGTAAGTGCAAATAATATAGATATTTTTTGGAAAAGTAATGTTTGAAAGAGCAATATTCATCTTTTTAAATCAGTCAATCTTTCATAAAAATTTTTGAATGATATGCTATCTTAGAAAAATGCGTCATTAACTGTACTAATCTTGCAACTTCATCCACTGTAACTTAATTAAATATATTATTGAAATACCGCATATTTTCCAATTATTAAAGAATTGTTGTCAACAATATCAATCAGCAGAACAAATGAAAATATACTGTCAATTAAGTAAGCAAAGTTTAAATTAATTTCATTTGCTTAGAAAAACTGCGCGGAGTCTTCTTTGATATCTGAATGATTCCATCCATTTTTTCGAATATTGCTTCTCAATCAGAAACTAAGAAAACCGTCTTATATTTTGAAAATAATATGTGATTACTATTATTATTATTATTATTCAATTACATCTATCAAATAAAATTTTCAGAATAGAATTATTTTCAATAATGATATGTATTATCGAAGAATTCTAAATAGATATGAAGTTTCGAAGTTATGCAAAGCAACAAATTTTTAAGGTGAAAAAACTTCTTTAAGTTAATTGAAAAGAGCGAAACACATCGTTATTGTGATGCAAATGAGAGAAAAGATGGATTCAATAGACTAACTAATGAAAATGGAAATTTTAGTAAGATAATATCGATTGAGAAATTATTCTAGCTTATCAGATAAGCTAGAATAATGGACAAATGAGCCAACTTAATGACATAGTAAGTTTGGGAAGTAACGCAGTAACTTTCGTTTCCTTTTTCACTATTTTGCTTCTTATCCTTCAAGCAAAGTCTAAATATATACTTCTCAAGTATCCACTTCTTTTCATCAATTATTTTTGCCATGTGTCAATTATTAAACACTTATTTCAAGTATTGTTTGGCTGAGGGAATAATGAGAAGCTGAAACAACAAATATAAAACACTGATATAATAATAATGCTTACAGAAGAAGAGATTGTGATTTTTTAAATGTCAAGTTTAGATCCATTAAAAGCATAAATCCATACTTGATAAAATAAGTAGCCTATAATCATGAGTCTTATAGCACTTCTTCCATTTCCACAATTACAATGAGCACGGATTGAATTCTGACATCGAAAATAAAATGAAAAGAATCAGGAAGAAATTGCAGCTTAGATAGACCATTATTCAAATCAGGATTAATTACGAAAGATAACTAGGACACTTGAAACAGAGAGGTCATCACCACCATCAGAACAGGAGTATTTCCAGTAAACAATCGAGACGCGCTCATTATAACACACAATAATGAATCTGTGTTGGGATGAAGTGCCTTTTGGTAAGAATTGGATGTGAGTCTTTTTGTTGTCTTTTATAGAAAATCTAATTAATTAATTTTGGCATTCGGACGCGGATGGAAAATTCTTGTTATCTTTACTTGTTCTAATCCATGTCAGAAGCTGTGACGTTTATATTCAATGCTACCCTTTTTCTTAACTTTTTGAAGCAGTTTATTTTATAAATGCTAACAACAAATATTTCAGCACTGATCGCAATCACTTTACCCTCAATAATCTGTGAATGACTACATATGTTTGGGCTCAATTGTTTCTCTCATACCTTGCTTCGTTTATCTTTCAAAAAAAAAAAAAAAATTTATCGAAATGAACGCTTCTAAGGTATATTCTTCAAAGGATTTCTGAATGTCTCAAATACACTGATTAATGTTACAAATATTGACAATTTCCGAGGATATCGATAAATCTTTTGAAAATTGTGAACTGCACTTGGAATAAGCATTGAACAAATTAGAACGTTAATGGAATGATAATGCTGTAGTAAGTACACTCTCAGTGTTTTGTCAGATTTTAAAACATTTGCGCGTCACAATAAAATTAATTGAAAGTAAAGCCAAGAAAATAGCAGTTAAATGCTTAACTATGAAAGGAATAAACGAGCACACACACACACACACACACACACACACACACACACACACACACACACACACACACACACACACACATACACACACATATATATATATGTATACATACATAGCACTACATTGCAGGATTGATGTTTGAGTGGCAGTTCAAGCGAAATATTTCGTTTTCTTATATTCCTATTAAAGGTGTATTCTGCAGGTGTGAACTGCAGCATAAGCAAGTAACTGCATAAAAAGCTTTGTGTTTTATGCGTTGATTATAAAATGTCTGAAATGTCACACAAATCCTTCTATTTTAGTGCATTGAAAATGCATAATCTGAAAGATTGAAACAGCTGCAAATAGTTTGCATATAAATATTTATCATTTTCTTAGTGAATACTTGCTAATGCTTACTGCTTGTTTTCCTTACAAATCAATCCTCAGATCTTCAAAATTGACACGAGTGTATCTTAATGGATAAATTTTTTGGCAGATGGAAAAATTTGAAATATTTAAATCAAATAAATGATCCCTATTTCTTTTTCGACATTCAATTGACAGTTAATAAAATAATATATAAATTTAATGGATTACTTTGGCGTGTCTGAAGTGTCTTTGGTGAAAAACGGCAATTAATTTAATCATACATTAATTAAGTCTTAGGATACTTCAAATTTCAAATTTTTTAAAAAACTTTTTATATCTGAAGTGACCGATAGTAAAGTGCTGGATGCATCGATGATTTGTAACTCACAAGTCTGCAAATTGACTCGAACTTTCCAAAAAAAAAAAGAAAGAAAAAATGGCTTATTTTAAAATAATTATGTTTTATATAATGTTTTTAACACCTTCCGCAACTGAGCGCACAATAATCGTGGACGAAGCGAGGATAAATAGTGCAAAAGTCGCTGGTTCTTAATATTTGACAATATGGGTGACGATCATTGCAATGATGCATTTTGTGAAGTGTGAAATCTGAAAGGAAAAATCATTCTATCACTTAGTTTCCTTGTTCATATTTTGGATGTTATCTTAATTTTTTTCCACTAATCTTTAAACGATATACTTGTTTTGGTTGCAGGAATAGCAACAGTGGATATAGCAGGTCTTGATATACTGTTCTTTACTTCAGGAAATCGACTTGATGAACTAACTGTTCACAGAAGCTGACATAAATGTTGGCGATAGTGTTGAAGACGTTGAAAGATTTAAATTAATTTTGAGCTCTTCAACATCTTTTGTTCTTGTTTTGATATTATTAGCTGATGATGTGGAAGAAATAGTTGCAGTCCTTATAGTTGTAGGAAATTGTCCTATAATCGTGCCAGATACTTCCAGTTCTTTGTGTTCCTTTCCGTTTTCTGCATTTGAAGCAGAAGTCGTAGCTCCTTCTAAGGAAGCAAAATATAGTTTATTCATTTATCTAAAACTAATATAAGAAAGACTCTTCTTATTTTCTAGCATATTAAATTACTTGTGTGACAAAAGAATTGCTTACTAAGTTTTTGTGAGATAATGATTAAATTGGAACTTACGTTTAATGCAATCATATAATTTGTTAATTTTCCAAATATCAAGAAAAGAAAGACCACGTCGTTGACCAATCCTAGATACTACAACGTTTCTATTTATCTTATATTTTAGTATATGACTTAAAGAGAGTAAACAACTAAATTGTTATTAATGAATAGATTTTTGAAGGGAAAAATGCTATTGCAAGTGTCAGATTGATAGATTGATCTATTAATTCAATCGATCAAATGATCCAATGATTCTGTCTCGTATATTAACCTTTGTTCATAGATTTTGGTATTATGGTTGGTTTACCATTTTTGCTAAATGCATTTGCGGAATAGTGCGTCACGGAATCATAATCATATGGTGAGCCCAAATCATCGATTATGGTAGCTGAGTATTTGTCAAATTGTTCTAAAAAATAAAAGGCTGTTTTCATAAGATTAATAGCTTACTTAATTTATGAGATAAGGGAGAGAATGACATTTTGAATATCAACAATGTCAATATGATAAGAAATAAGCCAATTGCACAATTATATGACGAGACATCTACATTACATATTTGTGCTCGAAATACCAAATCTCACTTACCGGAAAGAGCTGGCTTTACGTTTTCCCACAGAATATCTACATATAAATCTCGATCAGCGCGATCTGTAAAAATCACTGAACTCATTTAGTGAAGCGAAAGTACAAAAACTAGGCTTGCATAATTAATTGACAAATAGACAGTCAAAAAATTAATAAGATTCTTTTCTATATAATTAAAAAATTGTTGCTAATCCTTAACAGTGAAATAAGTAAAGGTGTGGTGGAAGCAACAATTGAATATTTCATGCTGATGAATGGAACTATAAGCTAGGAAAATACAGTCAAAAGTATTATTTCTCATTATAGAGCATAAATTGTTAGATGATTTATAAGAACTTACTTTGTTCATGAAAAAAGCCGATTACATGCATCAGTTCATGAATTACTATCCCTTTCTTTAAGCACCCGTCACCCAAACTTACTGTTTGTCTACCCCCTGTAAATGAACTCAAAACAATTTGACATTTTTTAGGATGCATCATTTTGGAACGACTCAGTGTTTCAACGGCCAAGTTAGGAACTATCATTCTAATAGATGTTGAAATTATCAGAAATAATAGGATGAAAAAAAAAAAAAAACAAATGTTACAATGAGTAAAAGATTACTTAAATCGGATAAGCTTAAGAAACATAATCGTTCGAATCTTTAGGAAATTTTCAGTTGTCGTAAAATGTACGAACCATTATTCCCAACCATTGAGTAACAACCATCATAAGGCGCAATGTAAATGTAATCGGAATCGAATCGTCGTTTAGGGACAAATCGTATACATGTCAGATGTCGATATTCTTTAAACGCTTCCAAAATTATAAGTTTGCTGGAAAATGAGAAATAGGGAACGTCACTGCGAATGAACAAGTGGAAAATAAAATTAGAATAGTAGAGACACTACAGACCTGATATTAGCATATACGGAAGAGATAACGTATGGTACTCGTCCGTTTCGCCATAACAATGTTTTTTGCCTTACTGCATTGTGCTGCACTGCATTCATCTCAAGCTGAGGAATAGAAAAGTTGTTTCGACTTTTACAACCAACACTGTGTCCGGTCATCGATACACCACGATTAAATATGGTAGCGCCATTACTGATAAGCACTGTAAAAACAGATAGTGTGTTATGATATTAGATCAACTGATACTCACGTCGATAATAGATTATAAACCAGGGAATCAATAAACGAACCAATATCGCCTTCAAAGAGATCTTCACGGTACATGGCTTCCGTGTCGTCTTGTACAGTGTCGTAGTCTTGTTCACTGTCGTCGTATTCTTCATCCGACTTCCATGTCAACTGTCCGTCTTCCGTCTGAATTACCTTTGACATAGATATTCTGTTCAACTTTCCCTGAACAGTCTCGTGTTATACAATTATAGTTAAACTGAATTGTAATAGCTGAATAATTTTAATATTTATCTTTCCTTATTGTTTATTGTTGTCCTATGGAAATCATTTATGAACAGTAGAAGGGAATTGAAAAATAAACTTTGTAAACTGCGCTCATCCGCTCCAATTAGGCAATTATACGGTGAAAAAAAAATGATGTCTGATAAGATATTATTAGTAAGCAAATGAAGATCAAGAGAAAACGATCAATACTTTGAAATTATTGTGATACTGTAAACATTTACCAATACTTAAGATTTCATCTAGATAATTTTCTGTTATATAGGATAATATTAGCATATTTGCCATCCCATCTTTTTAAGTTTATGACACATTCCACATCATTTGGAAACTCGTTGGGAGCGCAATTCCAGGAAGAGAGCATAAAAAATCTAATATTCTGTTTATAAGTTGTGGTTGCTATATTTTATTATATATATATATATGTAATTTAGAGTAGATTAGTGGGCAGATCAAAACTAAGTCAATTTCTAAATCAAGAGTAGATTAAGCGATAAGTGATAAACAAGTTGATCACATGGTATGCAAATGCAAACAAAACAGTAATGATTTAGTAAGGAAGTTACTGAATGTGTCTGGAGCTAATCATTGAGACAGTTTTCACTTCAAAAATTATTTCTACAAGCCGTGAATTTTTTATCATTTGAAATGAAAACTGATAGATTGAAAGATTTTGTAGATATCAGTTAAAAGTTAAACTGATTATTATTGTATGTTGTTGGAAATGATGACTTATTTACTGCTTATTAATATCTGTTTAGGAATATTTAGTTGATAGTTGTTTCCTTTTACGACATAAAATAATTCCTTTATTTCAATACACACAATATTCTAATTTAATATCGTTCCCTCGAATAATACTGACTGAAGTTCCAGTTAAATTTAATAGAAGTAATTGAAATTTAAATTTTGATATCCCTAATCATTTCCAATTCTAGTCAGAAAACAGTATCCAAACCTGAATATCAATAGCAGTAAGCTTAGTAGCAATAAGTTCGGTGAAATGAATACGAAATCCTCCTGTCAGCAAAATAACAAATGAGACTATTGTAATCATTTTGACAGATAATGGATATAATAGCTTTACAAATTTCTTTTTCTTAATATATATATATTTTCGAAATGTGCAGAAGTATTATTAGAGGATAGGTTGATAAATTAAATTGCGGGCGACTATTAAAGGGTAATGTGCGGTACTGAAAAGAGAAGTGGCTATTGAAAGAATTTCAACTGTTAATAAACTGGAAGAATGTTAGGAATCCCAAAGATATTAAATAAACAAACAGGCAGACATATTAATTCATTTTGAATCAGATTTCAGTTCTTCAATTTTGAAAGCCAAATACAGAGAAGAGAACAAGATAGTAGATGAGAGGAACTAACTAACAAAGAAGAGACGACTTCAAATGTAGTTAATATTTCATAAGGAGCGAAAAATTGTTTGGTAAACAAAAACATTTCATGCAAACAATTTTATGCAAATAAGGTATGCATTGATAAAGTTAATAGAACATAATGCTATACACTGTGTTTCATTCAACAATTTAGTGGTTAAGCGGCTCATCGATGTATTCTTGAATTTGGGCAAATATACAGACAGAATCGGTTTCGACTATTTGTTTACTATTAATCGATCATATCGAAATAAGAGCTAATGATTGAAGATGATCGAGACATTTATTGTTTCAAATGTGAGGGAGTACCAACACCACATTAGGACTGTAAATTAGCAATTTGTAAATTTGGGACAGCAGTCGAGCCTATGAAGCAAATTCGTGGGGAGATTTATGTTATTAAGTTTCATGATTTAGCGTTTCATATCTGTTCAAAAAGCTTGGTAAAACAATGAGTTAAAAATAAAAGTTTATTACCAGCCTTATTATTATAAGCATACTATATTATTATTTACATGCTCATAACTCAAGAAGTACCCGTTTCTTCACCACAAATAATATAAAGCACCCGATATTGTTAAGCTTCATTCAATTATAAGTCGTGCTTTAATCGGCTTAAGGTATTTATCGTGCACTGTTTGCCAAGAATTAAAATGATAATCAGTGTTGAAAACCTGTATACATCAAGGATTCATACATAAGGAACTGTTCACTAGACTCGATCATACAAAATTTTTGCCTTCGTGATTTGTTCAAATTTTTGGATTATATCTGAAAAATGTTTAAAGATATAATAAAAACTCTATGTCATTTGGAAAATAAAGGGGAAATATAGCGGAGTTAGACAAAAGTTACATTTGATGAGAAACGGATTGGGTCACAGTTTCACAATCAAAAATGAGAAGAAATTTTTTTTGCTCTGCATGAAACTTTGAACAATAAAAATTTCCTCAAGAACTTTCGAACAATCTGAATAACAAAGGCTAAGTGAATTCAATCAGGAAAGCATTGAAACATGCTTTGAAATTTCCTTATATTTTCAAAAACTTCCTTATCATATCTATTATTATTTTAAGGACTAAAAGAAAAAATATTTGACATAATTGACAATTGTAATTTAGATCTTCCGCCGAACACTTTCCCATTGAAGTCAAACTTGCAGCTAAATTTGATTACAAAATAGATCCGTTCAAGGAGTTGTTTTTATACAAAGTGTAACCTGAATAAGTACCCAACATTTACACTGAGCAGCTGCCTCACTTGTATGTTTTCTTATCTTAAAGAAGTATCTTTTGCAGTATTTTTTGTAATGCATATATATGGATGGATAAGTGCGCTCACCATAATCACAAAACGGTAATTATTAAAGCAGAAGTGACCTCCCATAAGATATGGATGGATTCAAATTGCATTCATGATGATATTTATCTATCGATGATGCACTTATTACTAAACTTCCAATTCTCAGAGAAGAGGTTGGAATGGAAGAGTAGGGGAAGGGAACAGATAACGTCTTTCATCCATCGGTCTCTTCTCTCCCTTTGCAGAACTTGGAGATAGATAGATAGATCAGACCAGGACTGACACTCATTCCTATCTATTTCCCTCAGTTCTTTCCAGCTGTTGTTGGATAACTTGCGATGGTGCAGTCACCGCCGGGCGGAGGTTGCTTTCGGACCTTACGAAGCATCGTTTTCCTTCTCAATTTGTGTTTTTGGGTAAGTGCATCTTCCGACTTCATCTCTTTCTCCTCCTCTGCTTCTCTTTCTCTTTGCTTATGTGTGGCTTTTACTCCAATACTCTTTCAGTTTATCAAATGATTAAATTCTCATCAAAAATTGTATAGCAGAATGACAAAATGACGAGTACTTCTTTGAAGCCAACGCTTGAAAATATACTTTAACTATGGAAATTCTTTCTAAAGAAAAGAATTTGCTCAAGACATATAAGCTATATGAAGCTGATAGCTGATGCTAATGGTTAAATTTACTAAATAGTAGCTTCAATTTTCGCTAAACGTTTTCAATTAAATATCGAAATAATTTATGTGGCCTTATATTCAACAAATAGAAAAACTGTTTTCTATTTGTTGAATATAATTTTTTATGAAGTAATCTAAGAGATTTGAAGGAATAGAACAGTGTTTGGAATATAATGAAATCGATCGACTGCTCTTTCTAGAAATGACAGAAATTGTGAAATAACGATATTCTTAGCTTTTGCTTTTGAATCAAAACAATTATTCATATCATAGCAGCTTCGTTTTGACTAAGTCAGAACACTAAGTGAACATAGTTTGGCTCTAATCGATCGTTTTATTCTTTAGTACGCTCATATGGAATTACAAAAAAAAGGAAATTCCTATAGAACTATTTTAATGGAAACTCATAACTAACAGAATCTTTTAAAACTAAGTCTCATTAATATTTCAGCTTTCGGGCTTATTTGTATTGATGTTGGGCTTGTGGCTTTTATTGGATCGTTCGGTTAATGATGTTCTCACTGCAAATAGTCCTCAAACAAGCGACCATTTCCCGTTGATATGTTATCTGCTCATTGGTACTGGGACATTGCTGACGCTAATTGGAGGATTAGGCTGCTGTGGTGCCTGGCGTCTCAATCAAGGGATGTTAACTGTTGTAAGTTAATTGATTACTTATTTTACTGGCACTATTAACAACATTAATATTCCTCTCATCACTTACAGTTATCAGAACAAATAATCTTCGATAAAAATAAACCTCCATATATAATTTCTTTCTAACTGATGTTACGAAATGGAAAAATGAATTTTTTTTATGCCAGGATTTGGAAATGAGAATTTTCAAATTTCCACATTTTTTTGCGCCCTATTTTTGTAAAAAAGGAAAAATCAACACTTTTGCTTAGAAAAAACACGTACCGTATCTCAAAGTAATTAACGAAAAAACACTAGATTTTAATCAGGCACCATGTGAAAAGAAATTGATATTTGCTGATGACTGATATTATTGTTATTTGTGCTTATCACTACAATGAGAAATTTTTTTTATAAATGGAGTAATTTAAATTTGTTCAATCATGCAAAAGTCAAAAAAAAATGTCCTTGTTTTCCATAGCATTTTTACATAAATTCTGGAATTGGTTTTTCACCCATTCCTTGATGATGTTCTAATATTAATGCCACAAATGATTTGATCTTTCCAGCTGCAATTGATAGCGAGCTATCAAGTTTTTAAATGTTTTTACTTCAAACGATGTCAAATTGATTAGTGAAATTTACTAATTCATCTTTTTTTTTTTTCATTTTATTTCATTTCCAACATTTCAAATCTTCTCAAAGATGATACTTTTATGATTTACTTCGCGCAAAGAAATAGCATCATTATTATTAAAATTGAAATGCGAGAAGTGATTGCTATAAAGAAATGCCTTGCAGTTCTTCATCATCCTTCTGATAGTGTTTTGCTTACAACTGACTGCTGCAATACTGGCCTACAGCCAACAAGAATTTATCAAGCGCTATATCGATCAGTCAATGTATCGCATTGTGCAGGAGCTTTATGCTACACAGTCATCGTATAAGGAATTGTTTGATAACATACAGAGTGAAGTAAGTACTCCTTTTGAATTCCTTTTACTTAATTAATTTACTTTTTGCCATGTAATGCTATCAGAATTACCAGTTCCTCTTTAGCACTGGTGGAAAAAAAACTCCGCACGACATTATCCTAAATTTTCAAGAATTGAAGACCCATTGCATACCGATTTCTTTCAGTAGTGCTGAAGAGAATTAGTGATTATTAGCACTCCTAAAAATTTCAGCTTTTTGGGTCAGAGTGTTTAAAAAAAAAAAAAGTTATAATAATTTTAATGAAATTCCAATTAAATTATTTGCGAGACTTTTCACGCATACATATATAATTTTTCAACTTGCTTCAGCGATGAGCTTATCCTGCATTTGACAAGATAAGCTACGTTTAAAACTATTTAACTGAATGATCGAATTCTTAATAAGTCAACGATGACATTTGTTCCTGTCCAATAGCCACTTGCACCCTGATGACTTTCTGGGACTTTGGGACATCATGATGTTTTGGCATGGAATGGAAAAACTTAGAATGTTTTAAATTTCTCACAAACTCAAAATCAATTTTTTCCAACTATTTGCAGCGACTTTTCGAACTGGTGACTTCCATAGATCGGTTTCTTTTAAATTAGATAACTAATGTAGTATCATCACACTTCCAGTTTTATTATTTCAGTTCAAATGTTGCGGTGTTAGAGGATATCGAGACTGGCTATACTCTTCATGGGGACGCGATATTCCTGGAAAAACCGAACTTGGAATAGGTTATCAATCCTTTTTCTTTCCTCTTTTTTCCTAGTAGCTCTGATTAATCTAATTCACTTACGGCAGGTTATTCCGACATTGGTAAAGTACCCCAATCATGTTGCAATGAACAAGGTATGCGCGATTATCCAACTGATTGTGGATTAACTTTTGACAAGTTGGAACTCTGGACTTATGAAGCCTTTATTCATCCAATAGTTAGTAGCTTTTACAATAATAATATTCTCAGACGTGTTATGTTAAGATTATTTTTCCGATTTATTTTCAGTTTATCTAATGTAAGCGATTTATTTATGAGCGGGGAGAACATAATGGTTCTCGAAGTGCATTTGTTATTTTGGAAATATGAGACCATTGGTCTATTTCTGTGTTCATTGTTTATTTCGCTCAAATTTAAGGGGTGTAGTAAAGCATTTTATGATGTAGCCAATAATCATCTGGATATTGCAATCGTCATCTGCGTCATTATGGGTACTGCTGAGGTAATGCTTTTTTTTTTTTTTTTAAGATTAAGGATTTTCATCAAGACCCGCGCAGTGATTTTAAATGAAACAATTTTTAGTGAGATGAATTAGGACTCCTTTCCAGCACTGCTGACCCTTCCTTTCGCATTTATCCTGTCTCCGATGCGGAGGTATATTTTCCTCTTCAGTAGCAGGCAAGCTAGAAATACTAATATCATAGGTGCGAAAATTATTGTTCAATTTTTTTGTAATTCCTTATACTGGTAGGAAACATTTTCAGCCTGGTAAAAAGCATAAGCTGGAATAAAAATTTATATTTAATAGTTTTTTTCTTTTTCAGCTATTGGGTATGTTCCTAACGATGTTTCTGTGCTGCTGGTTAAACGTTGAAAAACGACGAAAAGCAAGCTTTTAGGAAGGTTTCGACCAGAGAAGAAAAGTGACTGCTAATTTGATATAATTATAATAGTAATAACACTGCTTTAGTAAGCATGGATATAGAACAGTGTTACAATCAGTAGGATTTTTATTGAGCGAGATTTAAGGTCAAAGGTAGTGATATAGCGTGAAATGAAAATTAATATATTTTACTGTTAGATTTGAATTTTGCAGTTAACGAAATATGGCAGTTCAAACATAATATCAAGCGTGGTCAAAAGTGATACTTGAGTGACAAATTTGGAGCAAACGAAATGAACTGCATTGAGGGATTATATTTAAAGGATAGGGGCACATTGTCAGGTTGATAATTTCGGGTAATTGTTATAATAATTAATGAAATATGATTTTTTGTAATATTCAAAAAAATATTTTTGTGCTTATTTAAATGTTCAAAGAAATATGTATTATTCAGTGAAATATGTACTCTACTAACTTATATAGCGAAGTGTTTGTGGCTCGAGCAAGAAGTGTTCTACTGCTTGTTCTTCGGGAAGTAATTCCGCTAATTCTAAATTAATGAATAAGTCTCAAAAACATTTCACTCCGTCCTTGTCATTGACATATATAATGATTTGAATGAGTATGTATGTTAGCAGCTTATTTTTCGAGTAATTCAAAATCTACTTTGCATTTTAAGCTAGTTAAATTGTGTTTTAATTTGAAAAAAAAAAAAACTGTTTTGGTAGTATGCATAACCATAGAGGTGCAATGGATAAGGATTATTTGCAGAAGGCGCAAATATTTATGGACATGTTTGCACAAAGGATGTAGGTACCTTTCCAGCATGGATTAAAAAGACAAGAAATTGATACTTGAGATCATAAAATAATTTAGCGTTTTGTTTTTGAAATCTGCACTGCATGAATTTTTATTCGCAGGATGGTGATCACATCAAAGTTGATCATTCCTCAATTCAGATTTACTAAACCTTGCTCGCTAGGGATGATGATGCTGAATCGTTTCGTGGCATATTTCAGTATAAAAATTGCAATATTGTAACCTGAACAGTGAGATAATTCTTTGATCAATCCATCTTTTGAAAATCAGCATGAATTTTTAACGAGAGAAATAATTGAGGAGTGATATCGACTGTTATTCGTGTTCAAGCTTAAGCAAAAGAATTTTCGATTAGTGGGAGGTTCATTGAAGAATATTTATTGGTGGATAATAAATTAAGAGAACTATGGACGTTAAAATCTGTAAGCGAATACAGAAAACAATAATGGTAGCATTAAAAAATGACTCAATTGTCTCTAATTGAAGAATAGCTGATCTTTTCTTACCAAGTTTTATTACTCTAACCAAATACCTCACTAAGACAAACTAACTGAGTAATTCAACTATTCCATAAACTATTGGAAAAGAATTAAGTCCATGCAATACAATTCAGAGTGCATTCCCGCGAGTTAGTTAATTCTTACTAACCGTTAATTGTTTTGTAAAAGAACTTTTTGAGCTTTTTATAAGCAAAACTCACCTGAATTGAATTATACATTCGATGGACTTTATGCAATGATGTCCATTTGTATATCATTAGTAAAAAAATACTATAGAAGTAGGAAGCCATGTTTTTACCCCGACAGTGAATCTTCTTTAAAAGTACCAGGAAGAGAGCCAGCCAAATTTGACATTCTTGCAACATTCTTCCATTGCATTTGAAATCACAAGAAGTCCTGGTAAAGTAAGAGATAAGAATCGATTATTTTAGCACTGGAAAGCACAAATGTACCGTTCAGGAATTTCTAACTTATCTTTACAGAAGTTCAACTCAATATTCAATTGCCTTATCAGTCTTCACATTATCAATTAAATTTCTGGGTTACATATCAAGAAAAAAACATGAATTAAAAGATAAGTTAAATTTTGACTGGTTGGCTGATATCCGTCCTCATCTTACCAATTGCGTAAACATCATTGAATTAAACCTTTAACTCAAGCAACATCGGCTTGTTCAGCAATATTCTGCAAATGTGAACAATACCTGCAATTTCAGCATACGTCGTGAATCATTTAATACTCATTACTGCAATAAACCATATATGATGTAGATCAATTCTATTAAAGACTAGCTATACTGCTGAAACCTTTGGCTTTGATAGCATTCTTATTTATACTTTATTAGCTTGTCAATAATAAATAACGGGAATGCATTTTGATTTGTTTGCCTTTATTCAATGGTTTAGAGGAGGGAATTATTATTGTTAATTCCTAAAGTCCTTTGCAATGAAAAACACTGAGTAATTTTTAATAAAATATTTCACATTATTTTCCCTGAATTTCCAACGAGAATATTTGCAAGGTTTAAAAACCCAAATATCATAGACTTCTCAACAACGATTGAAATGACATAAAATCAGATAACTAAAAAATAATTAGACAGGTAAATGTAAATTTGCATGGATTTAGTAACACTAAATTCCAACATGGTAAATGCATTTTACAGAGATTGGAAAGAGCTCATAAACCATAAAATGTAACTTCCAATATAGAAATAACTTGTTAAAATTATAAAATCATTACAGATATGCTGCACTTTTCAACTGTTTGAAAATTGAAATTTATGAAATCCCAATTCCCTAAAGTAAATGGAGAAAGAAATCAGTGTGAACATCAAATGGATGCTAGCTGTTCAAATAGCCATATCGCTTCGAACACCCGAACTAATAAGGAATTTTCATCCACTGATCAAGTTGAATTCTTTACAGATATACCAGTAAAACGAGGAAGTACAAAATCTGAAACCCAACAAAGAGTTTTGTTTTCGAATTGCATCAATGCTACCAAACAATACCAAACAATGACGCATTGGAACGAGTTTTTGCACATTGACTGAACCATATTTAACGGGGCTGGTCATGTTATTATTGCTCTACTGGAAGGGCATTAGGAATTATCGAGGGTTTTCCCAAGAGTTGGTCAGGTAATTGGTTTGAAGGGATGTTAATCAAGGTGAAGACATTGACTGGGAAGGAAATCGAGCTCGATATTGAACCTAATGATAAGGTGGAAAGAATCAAGGAAAAGGTTCCTTTTTTTGAATTCTTTAATTAATTAAATAACTGTCAATCCTTTGGTTTCATTGCCTGGTATCTTCCTTTTTTCCACAACGTCCTCTCAGTTGAATAGAAGTGATTAGGCATTTCTGGACCAGGTGTTTCTGATAAGATATTATTGCACATGGGCAAAGTAAATATTCTCTTTTTGAAATACTTTAAAGATTTGAGTATTGCTCGTAATTTTTCAGGTAGAAGAGAAGGAGGGCATACCTCCACCACAGCAGCGATTGATTTTCGCCGGAAAGCAAATGAATGATGAAAAAACAGCACAAGATTACAAGGTAATTTTCGTGAACTTCAGCAAACATGGTGACTTGATTTAATCATGTTTTGTTTGTGACTATTGCGAGAGTGGTTGATTTTTCGTTCCAAATCAGCTACGGCTTGTTAAACATGCTGGAAGTCTAGCAAATCTTCTTAAAAAGTATCTTCTTTTTTTTAGTGGAATTAGAAGTCTATGTCTCTTAATTTTACTTTATTCGCCATCCATAGTTCTGAATGTAACTTATGTAGGTGTTGTATTTGCTGCAGAAAGAAAGTTTAAAATAGTTTGGTGTTATTCAGATTTATTTTTTTCAAAGAAGTTTGGAAGTTTTATTTAGCAAAAGTTTTGTTCGGTTTAAGTAATTTAACTTCTAAAAGAAGAAAATACTTCATACGATGCGGAAAAGGAGGATCTGTTCTCAGGATGAACAAGATTTTGGCTTAAAGGGAGAACTGATTTCCAGAAGTTTTTCTTTGCAATATTAGTTTTTTAAGTTTCCGATTCCTTTTTATGCAAGCGATTAACATTACAATTGAATACAAAGAGTTATTTGTATTCAATTGTAGTTTTTTTGCAGGTTGCTGGTGGATCAGTCCTTCACTTGGTACTTGCACTACGTGGTGGTGCTTAATATATGATTATGAAATGAAATATGGATTAGATTCAAATGAGCATATTTACAAGAGCTCTATTCGTATGTTCACATTGTGTTATTTGCTTGCTCCAAATACATGTACTGTCAAATCTGGTTTGTGATTGCATAACAGTAATGCATATTCCTGTGTTATAAATCTTTACTCCATATTTTTACTCCACTTTGTCCTCCTTACCCCATGCTTTTGCTCCATTTTGTCCTTTTAGCATTTCTTTTAAGCTGTATGAGGTAGTACACTGTAATAAAAACTTGTGAATTTTTATAAATTCGTGAAAGATTGAGGGATGATTTATGCCGAATTATCAATTGCTGAATTAATTGTTTGAGTTCTGGATCATTTGTTTTTAAGGGAACTCGCTGTATTGCAAGAAGGAGATCTTGTATGAGCAGTTTTGGATTGATGTAGTTTCCAAATAGCTTTATAGCTAATAGATCTTTATAAAATAACACAGATTCAGTGTAATACATACAATAAACATATATTATTAATGAATTACAAAGATTTGCAGAAAAAGTATGAATGGATAATCTGATAACATAGTAATATGTGCACGAGACGTATTTGTTGTTCTAAAGGGAATATTTGGCGCGGAGCTCTGAGGGTTATTTGAAAAAGCTCAAATATTGAAAATGGGTACATAATCCTAATGGCAAATATCTTAGTGCAAAAAAGTAGTTTGCAAGGTACAAGTGTTTGCAGTTCAACTTGTCGTACTTCCTCGTGAGTTTGAACCGTTTTCTGTAAGCCGTCGTTTCTAAAAGTTTTGATGAAGATCCAAAAAGAGCTTTGTGAATAAAAGAAATTATGAGTTCTTAAAAACTGGTCTCTATTTAGTAAAACTGAATGTTGAGAAAAGCTTACGAAGGGGCGTTCTCCAGAATGCCATCGAAGATGTGCCTTCAAATGTGAACTTTTGCTGTATACTTTACCACATCCCGGGACGTGGCAGTTGTGGATCCCCCGTATTTTTGCCGGAAGATTTGCAATACCTAGTAAAGTTGATGGAATTAAAGTCTGAGTGACAATTTATTTAGGTCTCTTCCAGTTTTTCATAAAAATATTGATAGCTATGGACTTTTCATATTTCCGTGAAATACGAAAAGTCAACTAAAGTTACTACTAGTGACAACTTTGGCAATAATTAGTTTTATAATTTCTTTTTACATTTTAGTGGCTTCTAGTTCTCCCAAACTTCCGTGTATTTTTGTATTTAGATTAAGAAGTTTGATTGTTTGCTGAGTAACGAGAAGAATGAACCCTGTGTGACTCTCACGCCCGATTGCACAATCACTTAAGCGCGAGATTCTGATTGATACCCTTTTCTGATCCTTATCTTTTCCTCCGGAAGGATTGATTATGGAGATTTATGACACTATCTTAGATTTAACAGTGGAAAATGGCTGCTGTTATGTTTTTCTTTTTGTTGAAGGTCGAAGCAAAGTGGAAAAAAATTATAGCAACTGTGGAATTCTGTGCAGTTACCATAGACCGTATTGCTTTAACTTCTTGGTTCACTTTAATTTAAATAAGAGTTCTACTTAATTTCAAAGAAATAGTGATTGGGAATGAAGTGAAGAGCAGACTGCAAGCGATTATTTGTCATGGAAACCATTTCGAATTCGTAAAAAGGGAAAAAAATCCTTTCACGCGTGTTGTTTTAAAGGGGGTTGTCATAAAAAAGAGGCAACAAATTATACATTGAAGTGTGAAAAGTGTCAATTATATTTCGATTTTCCCTTAACCATTTCAAAAAATTTCCTTTAAATTTGCCGTTTTCAGGGCCATTCTACTGTCTACTGCATTCCGTTTCGGTAAGGCAATTGTAATATTGTGCTTTATATGTTTGGTTGCATAGATAAAATATACTGAATAGTATTAGAAATATTTCTTCAATTAGTTGAAATGTTAAAATTAGTTTTAAACTAGCCGTTCTCTTATCTATAGAATGACGGACTGGAACTGAAGATAGATAATGTGATTGATGCAGTTTAACGAGCGATCTGGCCATTATCTTGGTGATGTTCTATCAGTCTTATTTACACCAATTTATACAACTGAAATAACCTACTGTGAATCATTGAAAAAGTAGGCCTTACACTTCGTGAATTCATTTTGAGCGAAACATCTGCCAGAGATGTAATTGGCGAAATCGCGGTTGCTCTTTTCTCACATGCATTCTGCTGATTACGGTAGATCTCTTATGCCATACATAGATTTTTCAAAATCAGACGCGGGTATTGCTTGCAATTATATTGCTGTGATTTGGAGAGAAATTCTTAGTTAAGCAGTTTTATGAGTTTTGATACCCTATCAGAAATCTAAACTATTTAAATGTAGTTTTCAAATTTGCATCAAATATAATTGCCAAAACTTTCAAGATCAATTAGAGAAATATTTAGACGCTCGAAATTGATATCTTAACAAAATCAGCGAGAGAGTAGCTAAAAAAAATTCATTTTTTTAAGTCCGAAGTTACCAGCTTAGCTTAGCTTGAACAATGATAGAAGAAGAACAGGTAAAAGATTTAGTTTCGACACAAGCAATTAATCATTGGACAGCACATGCTCTGCATTTTTGTCAATCTCAATTAGACATTTTAATTTTTTGGTTAGATTGTGAGATCAATTTAAAAGAATATGGCAGTTGTTTTCAGCATAAAGTGAATGAATGAGAACAAAGCACTGCTCATCTAAAGGTCATCATTATCATAAGCTTAGACGAAATGATCAATCTCATGATGTCTTTAACATTAATGCAGAATTAAAAAGCAGTAGAAAAAAATATAAAAGTGAGAGAAGCTTTATGATAAAGTACCTGACTTTGGAGTGAAAACATTGTAAATGATTAATAACATTTAAAATATTTATTGGATTGATTGTGAAGGACAAGGAAAAGGCATTGAAATGCTTTGAGTAACAAACCTTTTCAAAATTGTTTTTAATTTCAATTCGAAATTCAATTTCTTTTCTCAAAAAGGTTAAATTTTATTGATTAGAAAAGCGTCTAATCATCATTGCTTTTCCTTTTATTTGTCTACACACCTTTCTTTCTACTTCAAAAGCGAACAAATGATTCGAAAGCCGTTATGCCCTAATTTGGCAATGGAATGGGCTCATTTTTTGGCGCCATCTTATTTTTGTGAGAATCGTTTTTAAAAAAAGGAAAGTCATAAAAGGTATTCCAATAGTTTATTGTCTGAAATCAGTAAAAGATAAAGGACAACTCACATATCCTATTCAGATATGTGAGTTTTCATGACTATCGTTTTCGCAGTTTAATTTTTTCTAATTCAATTTTCATAATCTTCACAAACATATTTTTGCGGAAAACTTAATTTTGTTCAAGTTTGGTAAAGAAGTCTATAACTGTTAGTTCTCAAGCACAGTAATTAGGGGAAATTATAGATCTGAGTTTTTCAATAAATCTTGTAATCATGGTATATCGAGTTATACGAGAATATATGTCATGATTTAGACATCAAGTATCAATAAGTAAGAAATGAGCAACAGATTATTGCCATTCATTGTCAGGTTGACGTCAAAAATAATACCGCTGCGTGAAGAAGCTGTAGAATTTCAGACTCGATAAACAGAAGCAGAGAACGTAATTGCTATTTTCAATGATGGCTAAACATATACCATAACTTATTATTATCTTCTATGCTCACCAACATCCATTTTCCTCTTCCCCACTCATGTTCCCTTTTCCCCGCCGATAGTTTCATTCCATTGTTTCTTTTTGCTCCTGATCTGGTGATCCTGTACTTTTACTTACCTTACTTACCTTAACCTTTTTACTACATAGTAACCGCTGTGAGAAATGTTTTAAAATTTTATAGGAGTTAACAAATTTTCGGGGTGCTTATATACCCAAACCAAAGGTATGGTATCTATGATAGGTAGATCATCTGTCTTTAAAAATTAGTTTTAATAACAACTATGATGCTTTCAAAAATCGAAGAAGAAGGAACGATACGGTCTCTACAGGAAGTAAGCAACTATGTCAGTTGCTTCTCGCGAGAGAAACTAATTCATTTGATATATCTATATTTCATCATTGTTTTATGAACTATTCTGCAATCATCGTTCTATTTCCCGTTGCTATTTAAATTTTACTAACGAAATGCATTAAGAAAGAAGACTTACCCAATCTTTCAGCTTCCTGACAGTTAGGACACTCACAGTTAGATCGAGTAGATAATTTACCGCCTCCTACATGTGCTGTTGAGCTGCTGGAGACCTTTGACAGTGGATTACCGGTAGAACTAGAGTTTGGATTAGATATCGATACCACCTGACCAGTAGCTGATACGGTAGCAGCTGATAGTAGTCCTTGGAATTGTGGCCCCAGGTAGGGAGAATAAGTTGCCGCAGCAGTATCAGTACTCACTGCCGGTGAATACGGTAGCGGAGGCCAGGTTCCAGTTGGTTCTGCTGTCCACCACGGGGCCGTTGCAGCTGCTGACCATGAATATGGCGGATAAACTGCGGCTGTGGTACTTGCATATGGCGGCAATGTGTCTACCAGAGTGCCTCCTGCTGCCACTGCCGCCGCTGCTACTGTTTCGGTAGTTCTTGACTCTCTTTTAGATAATTTTTCTTCCACCGATGCAGTAATACGACTTTCTGAGGCTAATCGGTTGTATTGTTCCATCAGCTTACCCAGAGGGCTTTGTTCACAATTTGATAGCATCAGACTTCCAGCAGCAGCAGCAGCAGCGGCAAGTGGTACAATAGGTTTCAGATCACTTTGAGAATCCATATTGCTTTGGAAGATAATTTACAAGTTTGTTCACCGATTCTGCACTTCAGTCAACGAGAATGTTTGTAATATAATTAATGAAATAAGGCAGATTTCATCGTAACATTTGTTCAGTTATTAAATTTCTGTAATTCAGTTCTTAATGATCTTGCAGTTTTTATGTTATCAAAATGATAGAATTCGTGGTCCGCTTCTGAAAATGAGTTATTTCATCTCGAGAAACACAGAGAATATTTAAGTTGTAAATGTCCAAAAGCAAATATATCTATTCGTGCAAATATGATAATGAGAACATATAATCAATGAAGCAAAGCAATTTAAAACACTGATAATATCAGAAGCATATCACACATAATTGAGAAAGTTCTACTCATTGTAAAATTGGATAGTATCATTGAGCAATTGCTTGGAAAACTTAAATATCGTTACAGCAAAATAAAACATTGCTTGAAGGGGAAATTAATAATTACTCTTGCAAAAATTTCTATCTAATCTCTCGATGTTACCTACTTTGCTAATAAGTATTAACCCGTAATTTCTTTAGGATTTAAATTACTGAAGAAATAATCATTCTAAATAATAGCAAAAATGATAATGGTATGATCTGATGATTGATAATGATGTTTGATGATGATGATGATGATGATGATGACGATGACGATGATGATGATGATGACGATGATGATAATGATGATGATGATGATGACGATGACGATGATGATGATGATGATGATGATGATGATGATGATGATGATGATGATGATGATGATGATGATGATGATGATGACGATGATGATGACGATGACGATGATGATGATGATGACGATGATGATGACGATGATGATGATGATGATGATGATGATGATGATGATGATGATGATGATGATGACGATGACGATGATGATGATGATGACGATGATGATGGTGATGGTGATGATGATTGGTGATGATTGATAATGACTGATGACGATTGATGGTGGTAATGATGATGATGATGATGATGATGATGATGATAATGAAAAGGAACTGAATGAAATTGATGCATTTAGAGCAGTGATCGGGAAAGAAAAATGTTAAATTCAGGAGGCAGTGCTGAGCCCCGCCTTGCTCCTCTCTAATAACGTTATTTTCTACATCTTGGAATAGCTGCTGTCGATTGCTCAACCTGACGAGGACAGTCCTGGCCTCGTTAACAGCCTCAATATCGTCTCTTCTCTTCTCCACCTCCTCTCTGTCAAGTGTTAGTATACGGTATCCACAACTCATTTTTTTTCATTTCGATGTTTTCTTTATATTGTTTCCCGTCATTGTAAAGAAACGTCTCTAAATGTATCCGTGAGATCAACTAACGTATCGAATTCATGTTTATCATCTCGGTTCCAGCAAGTATTTCATGAACCATCAGTTCAATGTAAAATTCAGTGTAAAGGAAATAGATTTCCAAAGTTATATCTTTTTTGTCCTCTTCATGAAGTTGAAATTGTACAAGTGACCTGAACAAAGCAATCATTTCTGCATATTTTATGAAGGACGTTGAAGGTATCAGATTCCATCTTCCCTATTTCACAGCATTTTGTCCTCCTATTGCAGAAAATATGCGTCTCTATTAGCTTTCGTAAAAGTTTATTCAACAATTCGTTTGTTTGTTACTTGCTAGTTCTTTTTCTTTATTCGAATATTCGCATTTTAAATTTGGAATGCTATACGCCTGAAATGTAAAGTCAAAATAAATCATTAAAATCATAAATGAAGCATTTTAATTCCAAGTTCCTTTTCCTCTTTCAAAAAACGCAAATAAATCATAACTCTAGAATCTTACATATCAAACGGTCATTAAAATTGTTGCATAATGGTTTTGTTCTTTATCAATTTGTCTTAAAAATAAGATTCACAATTTTGGTAGCAGTTAGTATTGAAATTTTGATTTGCATCATTCAAAATCACTTCCTCCACAAATTTGTTTATTTAGTAAAATATTCTATTAGCAAAATAAGATATTCTATTTAGTAAAATATTCTATTAGTTTCGAAATTGAAATTTAGCCACAATTTCGTAAATAAATAGTTTTTCTTAAATTGGTGTAAAAAGTAATTACTTATATGGCCTTTCTCTTCCAATTTATGAAGTGAAATCATTAAGCAAGAGCAAAATCTTAGATTTTTAAGGAATATAATTATTGACTGAAATCATAAACCACCTCTTTGATTTTTCAGATACTTATTATTTTGAAGATTGATTGCCGAATATGATTGTTGGTCTGCTAAAGACTTTTTTTAGACTATCTTAGTTTCCTAAAGTTGTAGTATAAATACCAAACTATTTGTCGCCATATGTTATTGCGTGAAATAGTGAACGAAAGTTCAGATTGGACTTCGAAAGTACCTTGCCGCCACTCTGAAAGGTAAAAGAGATGCGCATATTGATACAATCAAGCTCGAGTGTTCAAATTGTCGTCCTTCTACAACTTCCTTCTAGTTTTCCTCAACAACGAAGCCGCCATTTTGTCTGATGTTCTAGTGGTAAGTGGGGAAGAGCGCAAAATGGGAGGATGTGACGAGAAAATGGCTATCATTGCGTAATAGCAAAAGCGTTTTCCTCAATAAATTATAATATCAAATTTTCGTGATTGTATATTTTTACGACGTTAAACGGAAATCCTCAATTATTCATGGAATAACTGGAACAATTAGAAGGTTGGAAGATAATTTCGGGAGAATCCTATCTTGCAATAGTAAACTCAAATCCAAATTTAATTCAAACAAAGCATAATCATTTCAACAAATTTCGAAAAATTAAATAAAATTAGTAAAATTTAGTAGTCAATATATCAGTTCTTCCACATTTAGTCCTAAGTGTTTGTATGATTATTTTACATTTGATGCATTTGATGAGCAAATTATTTTGTACTTATGTGCTAGAACACTTATCGTCACAATTTCAGTTGCTAATGCAAATAAACTATCGTTATAATTTTTCAAATTTCATGAAGGAGCGTCTAATGGCTTTGTCGTCTGTTGCTTCAATGAAGTTGGAAGAATTTAAATTATCCTTATCTGAGAAGTAAATAGCATTTGTTTATTGTTCATTACTATCGAGGGAGAAGAAGAGGATTACCGTAATGAGAAAACAAAATGTTAGTCTATTTGCACATACTGCGATGTGGTACCACAGGATTTATTGTGCTCAATTTGAGAGGAAAATAGTAGCACCTGGTGAGGATATTCTTCTCATTTTTTTGCATTCCTTGTTCCAAGACCCGATCCGATCCACGCCAATGTTCCTACCCTGTTATTTTCCACTTCATTGCATCCCTCTTGCGTTAAGTGATTAATTGGCTTCATCCTACCCTCATTCTCTCTCCTCCAATTTTTCATCAAAAAACTCATATATCTGTTATTCGCTTTCTTTCTTCCTCGGCCAAAAATAATTTTTTTTTTTTTTTTTGAAAATTCAAAAGCAAGCAACAAATTAGCGATGTGGAATGATGAACCGAACGGAGAAATGCCGGCTTTGGCTGTTCGTCCGTTTTCTTTTTTTAAAAGATGAATATCCATTGGTTATTGTGTGAGAAAAAGTGACCCCCCACAGAGTGGACACATACTTACACTTGACTCTTCTCGAAGGGTAATGCAATAATGACGAAAAAACAGCAGTCAATCCAATTAGTAGTTTCTTTTTATTCATTGTGTCAATGAATCAACGAATTTCTTATACTAACAGCTGTCTCGGGAAGCGACCTCAGAAGCAATTATCATAGTTTAAAAATGCTTCTTGTCGCAGAGATGATACATTCGTCAACACTTGTTTTTCAAGATTTTAGAGAAAAAAATTTAATGAAAAACAGTAAATCAATATAAATTTAAATTAATTATGAGTGATTCTTTGATATTATTATACTAATATTTTTTGCAATTAGGACTTCTGCGCTGCAAAAAACGAATGATTTGGAATTTGCAATCACTTAGCAAAAGACTAGAAGAGTCATATAAGTGGAGCGAGTAAATGGAACGAGCCAACAAATTCTCGTAAATCGACATTTAGGATCAAATCAAATTTATTGAGAATCATCGAACCTTTTTTCAAAAAAATATTAAAATTACTCTGTAACGAAAAAATAGTCTGTATCCTGCATATTAACAAAAAATTACTTTGTATCCTGCATATCTCTGTATATTAGTAGTACCAGCCTACTGTTAAAAATAAAAAACAAAATGAAAACCTCTTATATTTCAAGGGATGTTTAAAATATTAAAATTTAGTGCAGGTTTTTCAAAATAAATTACTGAAAGCAAGGTTCAGCAGTAAATCGATGTGGTTTAGATTGAGAGATTTTTTATATATTATCAACAGTATTTTATACAGTTAATAGTACCAGCCTACTCGGTGATGTAATAGACATGAGTGACATGATAATGGTGCCGATCAATTTCAGGTATGTCATCTCAAACTTAACACATGTGAGAACAATGTAATTACGACTTCGCTATTTGCAGCATATTTAGAAAGTTGTCATCACCGAATGTGCTGCAATAACAGTAAGTGACTGACTATCGCACCTCCTTCAGCAATTGTCGTTATTTGAATTAAAAATTATCACTAGTGATGGCATAGAGCAGAGAAGCATATACTCCATAGGTGTACCATATAAATCTTCAGAAGATTGTTGCACAATCCATCTCTCTGCTATTGCCTTAATCTGGTCATTAAAGACACATAATTGTAGCATCGTATTTCTTTGTCTCATCATTGAATGTTTTTTTCCCAAACGCATTACTATTATTATAGGTTGTGTCCATTTACTTCCCTATAAGTAAGGAATTTTGAGAGTCCTCCAAACGGTAGAAAAGTTCAAAATATTTCAATAATGCTAGCACCTTTATCTAACATATTGAAATAATATATGACAACATGTAGTACCTTATCGGTTAACTTTAGTCCATTAAATTATTTGAAAAAATGTCTAAGACATCATTATAAACAAATATAACATACTGAATACCTTGTTCAATAAGATCAATAATTATGAACTATGATAGTATCTCTATGCCAATTAGAGCTCTACTGAAGTAGTGCGCCTCAAAATAATGTATGAAATAACGATGTGCCCATAATTGGCAACTACCGTGTGCTTCATAACCGATAACTTCTACTAATTGCCCAATTATGTTAAAAGAAAATTTAGTGAACAACTGAGAGTCAGCAAACGTAAGCATGTACAACACGCAACTGAAAATGTTTATATAAAAGATGACTTTAGACTTACAAAATTTTACAAATTTAACGAAGCTTAGAAAAGCTGAAAAAAAAGACTTCGTTCAAAGATACTAAATTTGAGAACATAATTATAGGAAAAATCTAAGTATTGAAAATTTGTCCTCTAAATAAAAAGTATGATAATTAGAATAGTATGGTACTAGCAAGTTTAATTCTTAAACATTTTCATATTACTGAATGAAAGTTTTAAAGATCAGTGAGTGTCAGCTGCGGTATTTCGAACGAATGGTCGAATGATATCCATTGCTTTCGATAACTCTAGAATAACATAAATTTATACGTACTTGCACATTATAAAGCCAACAAAACAAAGCCTGAGTTAGCCACCTTCAAATCAATTTAGTTAGTAACTAACCAGCCGATCTCTACAAGAATCCTGGATGGTTCCATTTACTATTAGAATTGGGTTTTTTTCTTTTCAAGTGTTTGAAAATTTGAAGTATATTAAAAACCATAATATTTAAAAAATTATTTAGTAGAATAAATATTCCGGTAAAACATAAGATATATGCAATCTTCACTTTCTACAAAAAATCTGAAGATATTTCATGAATGAATGACTATGCCCTGCAATAACCAAAATCTTTTTTTAATTTTATGTTGAAAAGTTCATATCTTTTACATTGTCAAGACTTGTTTTTAAAAAGAAATAATTTTCGGTTATCAGTGAATTAACCATAATTTCAAGAAAAAAAGTTTGCAAATCACCTTGCACTAAGTAATTTAGTTTTGCATCGTCCAACACTATCGATGTATTTTCTTGGCCATTAGAACGCATATTCATTATATATACCTAAAACTCAAAACTAGAACCGACCGGTTTTATTCACCAGAATATAAAAAATTTGAAACATGATTATTAAAGTAAAATGAATAATGGAGCTGAGCAGTAAGAACAGAAACAACAAGACCAATTAACTGAAAGAAGAAAATTTAATCTTCCACTAAAAAAAAAGAAATTCCAGGATAGAAAGTAATGGAACAAAAGAAAATACCTTTCCATTTCCTCTTTCCGTGGCATCCACTGAAGAAATCGTAAGAGATGATGCTAAATTAGACAAACTGTTTTATCGATTATGTCCATGTTTAAGATTTCAGAAGTTTAAAATAGCAATATATAAGAACTTTAAAACGAGTCATTTCGCAGTGCTTTTTTTTAAAACGAATTAATCGACATCAAAATTTCTGTAAAGAATTTAAAGACAACTAACCTCGAGAAAAACTGAACAATAAAGCACTTTTTAATTTTTCCAAATTTGTTGTATAAACCTTTGCCAATTGCTTGCAGTGTTCTAAAAACTACTAAAGCTTAAAACCAGTGAACACTACTCCTTAATTTGTTCCAAAATCACCGCATAAACTTTATGAACAAATAGAGTTAAAAAAGGAGAATAAAAAACTAATAGGTTGATAAAAATATTAGTTAAATTGAAGTGTTGCAACGTAACAAACGCAAAAGTGGAACTTGGCTAAAATGAAAAAATCATGTACCTGCAGGAAGACCCAACTGTTGCATTTCCAATTCAAGATCTCGGGCTGAACATGCGCTTTTCGTGGTTTTTTCCAAAATGAATGTAAGCGCTGCTAACATTCCTTTCAAAGACTCATCATCTAAAAAAATACTAAGAGATTTCAAAAAAGAAAAAATGAATGAAGTTGAAGGCATGTATCACACATGAAGACGTGATATGATGACCAAACACAAGTGCAGAAAATTATCTAAATCTTTTTCAAAAAGTTACATACACTGTCGTCTACCAAATTCACAAACAATCTTTAATAAACAAAAACACCTTCAAGCGGAAATACGGGGACAGTCTTATTTTTTAGGAAACACTGTTAACCCAGAGGCAGTCCGAGGCACACATCTACAAAACAACAAATCTAAAAGATATAAAGCTTTAAAAAAGCACGCATAAGAAACGTTACCGCTTCCTTTTCTCTTGTCTAAATATAAAATATACATTCTATTTATAATATTTTAGCCATGGGAAAGTTAAGGAACATTTACCAAGAGTTTTATCAACATTGAGAACTGTTAAATGTTCATCATTCCACTCGGTTCTACCATTGATTAGACAGTCCACACAGCTCAAACACCAATTTTTGAATTTTAATACAGGCTGAAAGGATGAGCACACGATGTGTGATTAGACTATAAATGGAAAGTATGACAAAGATTTTCTTGTCATACTTTCCATTTATCAAAAATTTCTCAAATCCTGCATAAAACTGAATAACTTCATTAGAAGGATAATCGATCAAATGTATTTTAGAGACACATCTGAACACCTTCCGATCCTTTTCTTGCTTTTTTCAATATTCCTTGGTAATAAGATTTCTGCAAGAGGATGAAAACTACAAACTTACAAGTTTTGATAAAAAGGTCATCTCCGCCACGATCCATTCCGGGCAGTCCAAACCACCAACAAAATGAAACTTCTGAAGAAGTAAAAACTACCTGATGACAATTTGTGAATAAACAATAACCTCTGGGAAGAAAGCCATGTCAGCTGGGAAATTTAATGTAACAAATTGCTTCTAATTGTTATTTTAAGTCAAAAGAAATGACATCAGGAAGCAAAAAAGGAAAGGAAATAAAGAGAGCTCTATATCCATTTAAAAGAAATATTTGATTAGCATGTTCAGTAGCAGTATTTTTCTAATAGTTACTACTCCAGTTCAAAGTCAAAATCCTAAACTTAGTATATGTGAAATTTGCGTACCATTATTTTATTTCAAGATGACTTCAATTAATTCAATCCAGTTCAGTGAAAAGTTATTAGTGCGTCGCTCAACTATCCAGCCAATCTCTCAAGATCTCAAATTTTATTTTACAATGTCGATAAATATAAACAGATATGTTGCATTTAGACATTCATAACTGATTGCAATCGGAAGAATTCCATCATTCTTTATTGTGTGTAGTTTGTGAGAGAATAATTGACGTCCACTTTTACAACTAGTTTCAATCAGAAAGTTACATATTAACTTTTATTAAAAAGAAAAAGGAGAAAAAACAGTTACAGAGTGGTATCATTGGTAGCTGAATCACTCCATATCATCAAAAAATCAGAATTTTCTGCAAATTAAACAACCCGAATAAACCTCGGTGTTAATGAAGGACCGTGGGACACATTGGACTCATACACAGAGAAGAAGTAAGTACTCCCAGCACTTTTATCTGCTTCAATTTCTGCTTCCCCTTTTGACTCCAACCGGCGAGAATCAATACAAAGCAGTATGTAATACCTGGACGACTGGTCCCACAGTTTTCACTATGGCCAGGCATAACACAGTTGGCGGTAATGCTTCTTGCGAAATAGGGTGGGAGGAAGATATGATGAGAATGTTGGGGAGAAGAGAGACAACTAGGATTGGTGATATAGTGTGGTGAAAGAGTGGTGATGGGAGTGTGAGTGCAAGAGGTGCGTGCAAGGGGTGCATGCCTCGTTGTTTATCGCTTTTGGGATTTCCGTGGTAATGCTGGGTTTGCTAGAGTTTGGGTGGATGTGCAGAGGTTACTTGTCTAACTGCTGCCTTTGCCTTTAACACGCAGACACAGTTTAGGAAGTTATAGTCACTGACGACTGCACTTATTGTCATTTCCTTCATTTATACAGGCGAATTTTCTTGAAATACATAGACTAAAGTGGAAATGACGTGATAGTACTTCAGATTCTTTTCCAGATAATTTTGTTTCAAAATGGTGGATTCTTTGGAAGATGAGTACGGCACTCCATCTTTATCACTGAATTTCGTGGATACGCCGGATGGCGATTCCTCCTTACTTCATGGAGCTACTCAGGTTTTGTTATGAGGAACTTTAATATCATTTTAGTTTCTAGTTGTAAAGTTTTCTTCTGAAAATGAATTTTATTTCAAGTTTTTCAAATTTCAGGATTCACAATTTGAATTTGATCAACAGTTTACACTTCCTTCACAGGGATGGACTAGTACTCTTCCTGAAGTTGGCGGTGACCAATCGCAGGAATTGGTATTTGTAGATGAAGAAGAATTTTCTGTACCAGGACAACTACCAACACATGCGTGCAGGTATTTTTGGCAATACAAATCTATTACTTTTGCGATAAGGATTCTTACTAAAACTCAGTACTGAACACATTGGTAAGAATTCTTCGTAAAAGGATTTTCTTCTGAAGTCAAGGATGTCGAAATATTCATCAAAAAATCGAAAATTTGGGGTTTTTGATTTTAGATATTGCGGCATACATGACCCAGCTACAGTGGCGATGTGCATGGTGTGTGAGAAATGGTTTTGTAATGGACGTGGAAGTACGTCTGCTGGTCATATAGTCATACATTTGGTGCGTTCGCAACACAAAGAAGTTTCCCTACACAAAGAAGGTGCTCTTGGTGAAACAGTCCTGGAGTGTTATCAGTGTGGTTCGAAGTTTGTTTTTATCCATTTGTTGCCTTAACCTGTTCACGATTAGAAATCTCAAAACATGTCTTAGGCAAAAAACCTGATATATGTTACAAGCACTTCCATTAAACAAGAGAGTATTATATGCATGTGAAATTGTGTCATTACTAAAGGATAATTGATCATAAGAATTACTGCACTACAAACGAATTGTAGTTTTTGGAATTCTTATTTTGATTCCTTTTCATTTATTTCTTTTATTGGTGAGTGCTGAAAATGTTTTCGAAAACAAACATCAACTTGTATTAGTGTTTCTCTTTAGGCAACACTCCGTTCATAAGAAAATATGAAGTCTCTTGAGGCAAATTGTTTAGTTTCTTTCAGCTAGAAGATTTAGTTCAGCATTAAATGCTTTGAAGTGTTATGATTTCAGGAACATTTTTATGCTTGGTTATATTCCTGCAAAAGCAGACACGGTTGTAGTGGTGCTTTGTCGTTCACCTTGTGCTAATCAAGCTGTTTTGAAGGACCATTCCTGGCAGGTTACAGTTTTGGTTTTATTGATGGTATGATTGTTTAATTGATATCTTTGCTGGAGTTGACTTTTTCCCTTAACAGTGCTTGTAGGCTGCTGTTGTTTAAAGCTTAATTTCTAACTATACGTTTTTTTTGAGAAAGAAATAAGTACTTTTTATCATTTCTATCACTTTAGGTGGATGAGTGGAAACCTTTGATCAGTGATCGACAATTGCTGTCTTGGCTTGTAAAGATACCATCTGAGCAGGAACAATTAAGGGCTCGTCAGATAAGTGCTGTACAAATCAACCGACTTGAAGAACTTTGGAAAGTCTGTTTTTTATTCTTCACTTTACTATAAATCACAATATCTAAAAGAGGACTAAAAGATTTTGAAATGTTATTTGAATTTTTCAGGAAGATCCCAAAGCTGTGTTTGAAGATCTGGAGAGGCCAGGCATGGATGAGGAACCAGAACATGTGCAGCTAAAATATGAAGATGCATATCAATATAAGCGTGTATTTGAACCTTTAGTAAAAGCTGAAGCTGATTATGACCGAAGAGAAAAGGAATCACAAACACAGAGTGTTGGTCATGTTCGTTGGGATATTGGTCTCAATCGAAAACCACAAGCTTTTTTCCAATTGCCAAAGTTTTCGGAAGGAAGTCAGTGAAAACTTTATGGGTTCAGTTAAAGAATGGACATTTTATTAGTATAATATTTTCTCGATATAGCAAAAGCGAGCAGTGCTGGAGATTCAGTTACTGGGATATCTGTTTTATTATATTAATTTGGGGGTCTATACTATACAGATCGTTTCTAAATTCTGCAGGTATGAAGCTGATGTTGGGAGATGAGTTGCGCTTAAAGCATTCTCAAACTGCAGGTGGTGAGTGGAGTTCGGTTGGATGTGTTATCAAAATTCCCGACAGTATGTGTAAAAATCACTTGCTTTTTAACACTTTTTTGACCAAGATATTCAACAGATTTTTAATTAGAATAAATTAGTACGAATTTTGACGACAATCTCTTCTTGAGGATGGAAATATTAGCCCAATATGGACATAGATGATCGTATTGAAATAATGTTTGATATGTCGTTTGTCAAGCCTTTTATCCATTATCATGCTATTATTTCAAATAAATATTAATGGCTATATTTGGATCGTTTAAGATTCTGGGATATAAGTAAATTATTCAGCAGTTTCTTCAGATCATAATGATGAGGTTGGGATCGAAATGCGTTTAAAGGCAGAGAATGTACCCACGGATACACGAACGAACTTTACATGTGAATTTGTTTGGAACTCAACATCATTTGAAAGGTACTCTTTTAATATGTTATTCTATTTTGATGGTATTCAGTGCTGATCTCTAGTGCTAATTCCTTTTGAATTGGGTCATGTCGCGTGTAACTTCTTCGCAAGGCTTTTATCAATCCTGAGGATGACTTATTTCCTTCATCTGATTTGTGACTTGCGTTTTTCATCTGCTCATTTTATTTATTGAAGGCGCTAATTTCAGAATGCAAGCAGCGTTGTCTTTATTGGGTCAAGATGAAGATTGTGTTTCACAGTTTATCTATCACAAGTTAATGGGCCACGATATCGATGATATTATTTTTAAAGTATCTTTGCCAAAAAGATTTAGCGTACCGGGTTTGCCAGAGCTAAATCACAGTCAAGTGCATGCAGTCAAAACTGTTTTACAACGACCCTTATCACTAATTCAGGTTCTCATTTTAATTCACCTTCGATTTTCCAGAGGTTTCCCTTCCTCACTGTTCATATCGAAGAATTCACACTCCGTGAACAGATCTACAGCTAAAGTAACAATTTGGCTTATCTGCAGGGACCACCTGGAACTGGCAAAACTGTGACTTCTGCTACAATCGTATATCATCTAGTAAAACAAACTAATGGTCAAGTACTTGTATGTGCTCCGTCAAATATTGCAGTTGATCAGTTAGCTGAGAAAATACATCGTACAGGATTAAAGGTGGTCCTTTTATTATTTTTTTCTTTTTTTTTTTTAAAATCTTAGTTGAATTTAGCAGTTTTAAGTTTAGCCAAGTCTTCTTTTTAGTTTCGGAATTCCTTAATTAAGTGCTATCGTAACTTATCTTTTTTTCTCCTATTGTTGCAGGTTGTCCGTCTGTGTGCAAAAAGTCGTGAAACGCTTGATAGTCCTGTTGCCTTTCTCGCGTTACATAATCAGCTGAGAGCTTTACATGGTGCAGCTGAATTGCATAAGTTGCAGCAGTTGAAAGTCAGTTCTTAGAATTTTCGTACATAACTCAAGTTGTTACATTTTAGATTAAAATTAAAAGCTAACCTGGCATTATGTTCACTATTTGAATGCTTAGCATTTCAAAATTGATAGCATTTTTCTTTTTTTTTTTTTTTTACATATACTCATTTACAAGGTCACTATTCATTTGAACTCATTTGAGTGCGAATGTGACTTTGTTGGATTCTTTGGTAATGTCTGTTGATGTAGGGAGCTTTAATCAATTATTCTTATAAAAGGAAATGGTTTATTATATGGGAAGCATAATGATAAAATGTAAGTTTGTGAAGAAGATTGATTTATATTATTTGCAGGAAGAAATGGGAGAATTGGCAGATGCTGATGAGCGCCGCTTTCGTGCTTTGCGCATAGCAAAGGAATGCCAACTGTTGGCTGCTGCTGATGTTATCTGTTGTACATGTGTTTCAGCTGCCGATAGCCGTCTCTCACATATGAGAATTAAGTGAGTGTTCTGTGGTATAATGCATATAGTAAATCTAGTTTAATATGTAAATGCAGACACAAATATATCAATATATGTAGTTTATTTGTTATATTGTGTGAATTAAAGATGTGTTTTGATTGACGAATCAACCCAAGCTACGGAACCTGAAGTAATGGTAGCTGTTGTTTGTGGTGTCCGGCAGTTGGTACTTGTTGGCGACCATTGTCAGTTGGGTCCTGTTATCATGTGTAAGAAGGTAAATAAATATCTTAGGAAAAATTCAATATTAATTTAATTTTGTCTTTACTTCTTTATCTTTACTTCTTTCAAGGCAGCTAAAGCTGGTTTATCACAGTCACTTTTTGAACGGCTTGTTTTGCTCGGAAATCGTCCAATTCGCCTACAGGTGCAATATCGTATGCATCCTGCGCTTTCTTCATTTCCAAGCAATGTTTTTTACGAAGGAAGTTTACAAAATGGTGTTACGGAAGGCAAGCATTTATTTATGAAACGAAAGTAATCTAAATCTTTAAATAAGGAACAAAAGGGAAAGGAAACAGTTTTAGTTTACGTTATGTGACTCAGGTGTTATCTTATTTGTTGTTTGTTTCAGGGAAGTGATAAATTGATCACATATGTGTTTTATTTCAGGGGAGCGACAATTAATTGGGATTGATTGGCAGTGGCCAGTGCCAGATAAACCAATGATGTTTTGGAGTTGCTATGGCCAAGAAGAGCTTAGCTCGTCAGGCACATCATTTCTAAACCGGTTTGATAGATTGATGATATTTTAGCCATAGTATAATGGATGTTTTCCAGAAAGAGTGTTAAAGTTATGAAAAGCCTTCTTTACCATCTTTTTCTAGAACTGAGGCAGCTAACGTTGAGAAACTAGCCACTCGATTTCTGAAAGCTGGATTAAAACCGGAACAAATTGGTATAATTACTCCTTATGAAGGACAAAGATCGTACATTGTGCAGTTCATGCAAACACAGGGTGCTTTGCATAGTAAATTGTATCTGGAAATGGAAGTTGCTAATGTGGATGCTTTTCAGGTACTTCTTTTATTTTTTCTAACTTCATATTTTTTTGATATCGATAAATCAATTCCGATGAACATATACTAAAAAAAGAAAGTAATGATATAGTTTTAGATATTAAGCTCTATTTATTTATTTTTCCATCTTTCCAATTAGATCTTTTAGGTTACCTAAATTTTTTATGACCTTATCAACGATTTCAAGGAAAACTTAACTTCTTACCGCTAGAATTAATCGGATGTTCAGTGTATTTTTTGCAAAAGGTAACATTAATGTCGTTTGCTACTCATAGGCATTGTTATGTGTAATCCGCTTCCAGATTTTAAAGGCAAGCGTTGGTTACTGAAAAGCGGTAGAATTGTGGTAATCAAGATGACTGCTAGTTAGGTTTTTTTCATGCAGTAGTTAGGTTTTTCATGTTACCAGAAAGGTGCAACAGATATCAGATATTAATTCATCATGTTACAATAGATATGTTTATCATGTTTTTAATGTTTCCATAACTTTGTGAGCATTGCTTCAGAATGTTAAAAGACTGAAGAGAAATTTCAGGGCCGTGAAAAGGATATCATAATAGTGACTTGTGTTCGATCTAATGACCATCAAGGCATTGGTTTTCTGAATGATTCCAGACGTTTGAATGTTGCACTAACACGTGCTAAATTTGGTCTTATCATAGTCGGTAATGCAAAGGTACTATCGAGACATCCACTTTGGAATTATTTATTATCAATGTTCAAAGAAAAGGGTTGCCTCGTTGAAGGGCCACTCAATAATTTGAAACCGTCACCAATTACACTTTCCAAACCGCGTCATATTCCTAATATTATGAGTGTAAGTTGTTTGCAAAGTTCAAATAAAACTGTAAGAAATTCAAAGTTTTAAAATATCGACGCTCTCGTGAAAATGGATCGTTGCTTTTGGAATGTATGCGGTAAATCTAAGAGTAATATTGTAAACTGTATGATCCAATATGCAAAAAATTACTTGTTCAATTTTGCAGATGAATCGTTTCATTCCACGTGGAGTAGTTCTGGCGAAAGATATGCAGGGTAATGCATTTGGTACTCGTAATCGAGATTTGCGTTCGATACAAGATCCATTCGCAGCTATTACTCACGGTCAGTTGCGACCTCAGAATGGGATCAACATCCCAGTACCAATACAGATGTTTGTGCAGCCGCCACCTCATTACTACCGACCCCCACTTCATACACGTCATGGCGATTTAAATTCTGTTGATAGTACGACACGAAATCGTAAACATTTAGAAGGAATAAATATGTTTAGTTCGCAACAGTCTCAAGATCCCATTTATATGCAGCAGCTCGGTGAAATGTCTGGTGAGTCGCGTTTCTATTTGCAGGTTATTTTTAGAAGTCCAAATCTTGGCTAAATTGCATTTTTCTTTAAATAACGCATTTTCAGGTGTATCCCAGGATGTATCGGATTGGACGCAATCTCAGACACAGCATGGTGCTTCTCAAGGAGGTGTTCCATACAGCCAGGTAAAATTTCATGATGTTGTTTGATTTTTATACACATTAATGCAGTTAAATAATAACTGTTGTATTGTTCAGAAATATTTTCAACGTAAAAATCATATGAGTTAAGAATAGTCTTTCTCTGGTGTCTATTCTCCAATTTTAAAAGTTGATTGCTTTGGTTCTGTTATTATGTATTCATCGAAATTAATTCTGAATCCCATAGCAATAAGTCATATTCTGAAAAAACTGCGTAAGACAGATTTGGGATTCAACTTTTAAAAGATTTGATACTCACTATTTTTACTATTTTTCATGTTCATTTTTTAGCTTAGCAAGAGTTTTTTTTTTTTTTTCAGGATCAATTATTGGTTAGCCAAATGGAATCACTTTTTCTGTCACAAGATGCAAATGCGGAGAATTATAATTTCGGTGATGTAAGCCAGTATTAATCAAAAGCAGAAGCATATGGTTATATGAGGCCTGGAGCAGTAAAATGCTGATTTCCTGGATAAGCAATCAGTAAAACAGAAGCACAGCCCAATAGTTGGGTTAACATCCAGCAAGCAGTATTTCGGTTAATCACTACTAATATCGAATCGTTCGAGAAGGCATTATGGAATGAATTATTTGAAGCTGAAAATGAAGTTTTTCTTTTGATCGCTGAAAATTTTCTTCTGTGAGTCAATTATACGAAAGATATGCTTCGCTCAATAATGATAATTTTTTGCTGAAATGCTGTTCCAATGATCGTCTATTTTTATGTACTAAGTGATCATTTATTTTTTATTATTTATGATAGTACATTACTACATTTAGTATATCTTTTGATAATGGTAATTGTGAGATTCACTATTTAAAAATAATTTAAACTCTAGGTTACTTCAGGTTATTTAATATAGAACTGACAATGAGTGGTGATTACCATAAATCCTAGGTAGATATTTTGAGTGTTTCAGTTTACAATATAAATAGTTCTGGCAGATCAAAGAGAACCTTGTGCTAGCTAATCCCTACTCAACTAAACTATCTCTTTTGCATATTAAACCAGCTATAGTTTATTTTAAGGAGTTTTGTTTTTTGTTTCAGGACAATTTTTAAAGCAGTTTTTGAAGGAGTTTAGCATATTGAACTATTTTAAGGAGGCATTCCACACTACAGTTAATTTATAATAGTATCGTTTCTTGTCGCTAATAATTTATTGTTATCTTCTATCGTGTTTTGCATATAAGAATTTTTTTTTTTTTTTTTTTTTTTTTAGAAAGAATTTTTCGTAGTTTTATGAAGTTGAATTCAGTATGTTACATTTAAAAAGGCCGTGTTTCATTCTCTTCATAATTCTTGAATACTCATAAGATTCAGAAATTCGTATTTTGGCATAGTAATCCATTTTATCTGCTATGTTATTATTTGTTTCATTACATTATTTCCCTACATTTGTGCCGTATTTCTCGAAAATTTTGTCTTTTTCTAAATAAAATCGAGTCGTACTTTTAAGTACAGCGTTTTGTATGACTATCAGTGATGTACTTATAATTCATAAGTATTGCTTTCGATAGTTCGAAGGGTTCTTTGTGACAAAATTGCAAGAGGGCATAGGTAAATCAGTGCATGTTTTCGACTGAGAATGGTATGTGCTGTTAAGACTTAGGACATGTGCAGAAGGCTTCAACTTTTTGCATTTCATTTGAAAAATATGAACACGTTTTATCAACATAGCTCTGGTTATTTATTCGTGAATCATTATCTAAATAACTTCAAGTTTGCTAGAGATTACTATTAACTTATATACTTATTAGTTGAGAACCAATAAGATTACTGGATATATACAGATGATTAGCTGAACAGGTAGGTATAAAGGTATATGAATATCGCACTTATGAGGTAGACCTACGGACGATCTGAATTACATTATTCCATCCGTTCTTATTTTTGGTAATTGAATGTTCGAATTTTCTACATTGGGCAACGACATTCAACAAAAATCATTGAGAAAATTTTGAAATTCTAGACAAGTTACACCTTTAGCATAAAATTTTATATGCTAAAACAATTTTTTTTTTATCCAATAACAGATAGCGAGGATGAACAAAAGTGGAGAGTGCATGGTTGAATTGTACGTGTGTGCGAGAAACGAAGTCTTAGGTTGAAATATGAGCAGTTTGGGTTGAAGGATGCTTAAGGTTTTTTGAAAAAAATGTTTAGGAAGTGAAAGACGTGTCCTGGAATGGTTAAACACGGTATCCGAAATCGAAAGAGGAATAGTATCGCTATAAAGAAGAAGGTTGGACTTTTTGATTTTAGTTATGACTACAGCTAATGTAACATTGTGATCTCATTTCGCAAAGTGGCTGACTACTTAATGGTTATTGCTTTTGAAACGCTCTAAATGACTTAGGGTGCTGTGTATTAGTAAAGGCAAACTTCTCTTTTTGAATAGATAAGTGGAATATTATATTCTTCCGTTCCAGATAGAGTTAAACTTTGAATTTTGCAGGGTGAAACTCAAAATTACGTGTTGGCTGAATTTGATAAAAAAAACGAGAACTTCTGCACATATTATAAAAGTCAGGGAATTGTAAAAGATGATGAGTGGGATGCATTCATAGCAGCTTTAAAAGACGATTTACCGACGTCATTCCGTATCCAAGGAAGCAGCAAGTATTTCAGTTTTCTTGTCAGATTTTCAACTCATCTAACTGTTTCTCATACAAAACACAAAAGACTTCGTTGAAACCGTTTACGAGAGTACGTACATATTGTGTACGTACTATGTAACGGTTATTCAACGTGCCAAACTGGGCATACATTAATTAGTTCTTTATTAATAAGGATTCAACGAAAAAATATTCAGTGTTATAATTACAGGAAAGGAAACAAGTGTGTGCTTTGAAATTTAAGAACTCTTGTTCTGTTCGGGTCACTTGTTGATTTTATCCCTAAACAGTGCTTGAAGTTTATGGGATGTATTTCTTTCCTTGACTAGTCACTTTTATAATAGTATCGTGATAATAACTTTTGTTCTTTTTCTTTTGAAAAAAAAAAATGTGTATTAAGTTGGTGTAACTTACACTACAGTTTTAGACTTGTCGCTTGTGTCATTAGTTAAGTCCTTATTTTCGGATAGAAAAACACTGAAATTTTATTCACATGAGTCAGTAGTGTAGTAGAATATTTCTCTGTACATGCTTTCATATCTAAATTGTTAGGTTTTTGAAATCATTCTACTCTTTTTCTAAATGAGAGGGCAGTTACCCAAACGAATTTTAGCGAAGCACAATCTTTGGTCGAATTAATGAATAGCCATTATTTCGAGCCCATGAAACAATGGGAAGATGGCGACACGTTTATACCAAAGCAGCTTTCCTGGCATCCATATGCTTTCCAGACTCCAATATCACGTGCCACATTACGTAGTCGACCACTGCTGAAAAACTTCCACAATTTTCTTATCACCGAGGCTAAACTGGTACGATAGTTTCAATATTCATAATTACAATAATATTAATTTTATTAATGCAGGTTTGGGCGAGGGTTTATATGAAATGAAATTGGTGCTTAGAAATATTTTTAGGTTTAACTGCACAACAACACTCACTCTAATACAAATATCGCATCAACGGTTTGAAAATTTCCAGAATGCATTTTTAGGGTAATATTAGTCGACAAGAAGCGGTTAGCATGATCCCTCCACTTCTGCTTGATATAAAATCGCATCACAAGATTCTTGATGTTTGTGCTGCACCCGGAAGTAAAACTACGCAGATTATAGAAATGATGCATTGCGATGACAAAATACCTGGTATTTCGAGATTCAAATTTAAAAAGTTTTATTCAGTTTAAGATAGCATAACATTTCTGATGTATCATCAATTCTCTTATTGCTGAATAAAACAAAATATTACTAGGTGGATGCGTTTATCTCTTGTTATATTTTGTTTTCAGTTTAGCTGTTTTTATAGCGTGGCTTAACTAACTAATTTTGGAATTGAAAATCTAATTGCACAAGGCAACTCTAACACCATAGAACATAATATGAAATAGTATTTTATTTTGTTAGAAATTCTATTCTTTACTATGAATGTAAAAAATGTATACTGATGATAAATTTCGCATATACTTTTTTAATATACTTTTTTAGAAGGCCTTATTGTGGCAAATGATGTTGATAACTCACGTTGTTATTTGCTGGTACATCAGGCTCTGAAAAGAATGCCAACATCAAATTGTATTGTAATCAATGAGAATGCCGCATTTTTGCCGAATTTATTAATAGATAAAGTAAGTTTGCATTTTTGTAAATATTTGATGCGTTACAAATAATTTTCCTTATATTTTTAAAATTTTGAAAATTTGTGATTTGTTGTTTGAATTTCTTTTGATTTTGATTTTATTTGCACTAAAATATTTTCACCCTTACTTTAAATTTTAAAAATTCTGGAATCCTACCAATTAATTTTAAAAATCATTCTAGGAAACATCAGAACCGTTACTGTTTGATAGAGTACTTTGCGATGTAATTTGTAGTGGTGATGGAACATTCCGAAAAAGTCCAGATATGTGGCAGTCTTGGAATCCTGTCAAGGTTTATCATTATCCTTAAAGACTATTACATTCGTTTGTTTGTGGCGTCAAATAGGTTAAAAATTTATGTTTGAGGAAATTTTCAGGGTTTGGGTTTGCATAAGCTTCAGATTAACATTGCTCAACGTGCTGTGCAGCTACTTGCGGTGGATGGTGGATTTTTCGTGATTTTTTTTGTCGTTTTTAAAAATTTCGTTTAAAAAAAAATGTTATTACATGAAAATATGTCTTAATTTTTTATCGCTTTTTTCAAGCAGTGGATTTTGATTTTGTTGTGTTAATAAGAAGATTATATAATCGATGTTACATTGTTACTTTTTGTTTGGTGTAGGTCTTATGGTATATTCAACATGCTCCTTAAATCCTATAGAAAACGAAGCAGTTATTGCATCCTTACTTCGTTCTAACGCTGGTGCCTTGGAACTTATTGATGTTTCTCAGCAGTTGCCTCAGCTGAAGCGAATGTCAGGACTCTCGAAGTGGAGGGTAATCAAACCATATTTTATTTTACATCTGGCTGACTGTAGTCTGCAATACGATTTTGGTTGTTAATGCATTAACAAGTGTGTATTTTTAGGTATTTGATAAAGCCATGCGTGAGTACAGTATTCTTGAAGATGTAATCGCTGATCAAAGGCGCTACTTTACTTCATCGATGTTTCCTCCAAACGATGACGAAATTCAGAATTTTCATTTGGAACGCTGGTATGTGTCTTATATAAATATATGCTTAGATGTGAAGCTACTTCACCATGAATTTAGTCGTCTGAGGTTTTGTATATTCATAATTGATTTCATTGTTGACATGTGTATTGGTCTAATGCAAAATGAAGAATCGGCGATATCCATTACAATAAAATGACGAACACTTTAATAACGCGTCATCTATACAGCAGCAGCAAAACACAACTGCACTGTTTGCACTCACTTGACTGTTTATGAAATTTAAATTGTCATTTTTTACAAGAACTCATGCTTCACTAAACAGTGGACAAATTTCTAAAAGCAAGCAATAGACTCATGAAGAAGGAACAGTTTTTCTTGTTTTTCCTGTTTTCAGTTTTCGAATATTACCACACTTGCAAAATACTGGAGGATT